CTCTATAGTCTGTTGTGTTTACTAAATTAATTTCGAATTTGACTTGTCTGTGTTTAGGTGATTTCTTAATTTATTGCCTGTTAGTTCAATATCTCAATATGTGTCAAATGTTAATTTTTAACTCGTTAAGTTTTAAACGTTTTTATTTTATGCAACAGGCCCCTTAAGTTTATAGGTTTTGTGACGGATCTTGGTTTATTTATCCTGCTCTGCTGCATTATTTCTGTAGTTGACCGCGATACGAAAAAGGTACGACTTGTTTTTGAATTATTTATATTGTTTTTTTTAGTGATTGTGTTTATGCGGAAAGAACCTCCCTTAGGGTTGTATTTGTGGTTTTATTGTTGCAAATTTGATTATTTAAGAGTACTTATCGGTTTTTGAAGATAATGACCCTTTTCACTCTCAGTTAGACTTGTTTGTTCTTCACATATGGTGCCTTCTATTGGCCGGTAGTTAGTCCGTCAGGGTGCTGCCTTATCACTTAATCATTTCCGTGTTCGTAAGATGATCTTTTTTTAATGTATGTAGAATCTACATTGTAGATACTCTGCACTATGGTTTATGTTTGCTGTAGAAGTCGATTTATAGTTTGGGTTGTGTATTAGTGTGCTTTGTCTGTCTGTCATCTTCGAGAGTTCAAGCATGACTGTCTATTCATCAGAGAGTTATGCATTTTCTTATGTCAGTAAAATATCATTTAGGCGGGGTTAAACGACATTTTTTTTTAACTTTAAACAAAAAAATTAGAAAATACTCAAGTAAAAAACAGTCTATTATAACATATTTAATTCGTATGCTGCCTTCTCCATTTGCGCATCGGCAAGAAAATTCAAGTTATTTTTTTTTTACTGAAGTATTTCATCTGTCTATGGGTTTTAACAATAGACAATGTGATCCTAGAAAACAAATTATTTTCTCTCGGTTGTTTGGATTTATTTAACAAGTACATCTTCTTCGCTAGATAATGATTTTAATTGGCCTGTGTGTAGCTTTCAAGGATCGAATTTGCCAAGTCGCAATGGTGTGTTTTCCATGTTTAAATTCTATATCATTCCCCTTTTACATTACCACACATCATCATTTTCAAGTAAAATTTACCAGGTTATTACTTCCTCCTGGGTACGAGGTTAAACTGCCGCAATTAGGTGTTCTTCATCTAAGGCTCCCTTCACTCTCCTGGGTAACGAGTAAAACTGCCTCCCTCCATTCTATTCCTTAAAGTATAACTGACTTTGTCTAATTTTATTAAGCCGTCCCACTCTCCTAAGTAAGAGTATAAACTGCTATCCACTGAAATATATATATTCTTAAATTAAATTTGTTGGCATTCTTACAAATTCCTCTTCACTCTCCATGGCACGAGGATAAACTGCTTTCCATCGAAATAGATATAATATATTATTAAATTAAATTTGTTGGCAATTTCACAAATTCCTCTTCACTCTCCTAGGCTCGAGTATAAACTGCCTCTCCATTCTCCATTTTTCTTCGTTTCCCAGGCGTTCTCACGCCAGCCGGGCTAGCTTTGCACCAGTCTAGTCTGGCATGTACTTGATTTCGTTGCTACAATTTCCCCTTCAGGGATCTGGTCAAATAATTGTTTAATTTAATTTTAGGTATTTAATTAATCTGGATCTTGAAACGGAACTCCGTTAAATAATCTCTTCTTTATTTTGTTGCGTATCTTCAAACAAGGGTTTTAGGTACCTTGTACCACCACGGTGGATCGTTGACGAGGGGGCTCTAGTATGACGGATTGCCCGCCATTCGCTCACTCCGCGCTGGATCGTTTGTCTCCTTTCCTTCCTTCCCTACCTTCTCTACCTTTATATAATTTAAGTCAAATATATTTACTAACCATATTCTTAAACCAATGTAATAGCCTGCGGAATAAGCTAATCAGAAATATACTAATGTACTACTAACAGAAATGTAATTTTATGATATAAATAAAATAAAACAGCCTCGAGGCACTAGTAGGGGAGGGAGACAGAGTGGTTGGCAAGGGCATGTGGGTTGTGGTTCGGACATCGTGGCCGGAATCAGTTCGCTGACTTCGGCCGCGATGCCCGGGCTACCTGGGGCCTTCCCCTCTGTCTTTCTTTTTTTTTTAGCAGGTTATTATTTCTGCCGTTCACTTCTTGGACTAATTCTTCAAATGCCAATCCACCCAATTGTTTATGTTGAGTAAATTCATACACCATTAATTTAAGAGTTTCACTCCACTTAATCAATTAGCATTTTAATATGTATTTTGGTGTTTATTTCAAGCAATATCAGATTATGCGCTTAGATAAAATATAACTGACCTGGTGGTGCAGTACATAGAGAAACAAACGTATATGGTTCAGTGTCTACGACGCGTCGTCCGTCCTCCAATCCAAGACTCTCAGGTTTTAGTTCTTGGATATCACAACCAATTTAAAATTGTAATGTTCATTAAGTGGAAAAATTTCATGGATATATTTATGCCCATATTTAATGAGCACTTTCTCAGTTTTTATTTTTCCTAAAGCGAAATTGGCTATTGGTTAAAATTTTATTAGTTTCGAGATATAAGGTTATTTTGTCAGACATGATTTTCTCAACTATTTTTGAAATAGCAGGAAGTAATGAGATGGGACTATAATTTTTCATTAGTTTATGATCAAAGGCTGTAAGATTTCCAATAAGAGAGACTTAATTGGGGAGCCAGTGCAAGTAGCAGATGATGTAAATGAATCTTACCAGCATTGCGCAAAAATTACTAGAAAATCTGCAACCTGTAACGCATACCTGTGATATAAACGTTAATGTAAGATCTTTGTTTTTAAAACCTGTAACTAGTTTGGAAATAGCTCATATTAAACATAATCTTAAGAACAAAATGAGTTCTGGCTTTGACAATGTACCGGTTAGCGTGATAAAATTCTGTGTATTGGAACTGTGTAATATTTTAGCTATTATAATACAAAACTCACTTACTCCTGGCAGCTTTCCTTATGATTTAAAGTGTGACCTTGTCAAACCTTACATTAATTAAAAATTACAGACTAATTAGTATTCTCTCACCCTTTTCCAAAATCTTCAAAGCAGTTATGTCAAACCGAATCACTGACTTTTTTTAGCAATTTGATCTCTTTAATAAGAACCAACATGGTTACATAAAAGGGCGTAGCATTGATACAGCTGTTTTTAGTTTTACCTCAGAGATTCTTAAAATGTTAGAATACAAAAAACTTTCTTTGGGTATTTATTTAGATCTTACTAAAGCATTTGACACCCTGAACCATGAAATCCTGCTTATAAAGCTCGAATTAGAGGTAGTGCCCTAAATTGGGTTAAATCATATCTTACAAATAGAGGGCAGAGTTGAAATTGTAAGTGATTCTGGTGTTTTCATGAACAGAGCAGTAAAGGTTGGGATACCACAGGGAAGTATAATAGGTCCATTACTTGTTACAATCTTTGTAAATGACATTATATTCAGTTGATATCAATGTGAATTACGCTGATGATACAAAACTTCTAATAAATGCTAAAGACTATAGTGATATTATAATTAAGAGCAACTTATGTATGTCAAATATTGAAACATAGTTCTGTAAAAACCAGCTCATTTTGGATCAAGGAAAAGTAAACTCATAATGTTCAAAACAGCCTTATCAAACTTTCAAACTCCTCCAAATATAAAACTTAACAACTTTTTAAAAAAAATTCAGACAATGTAAAATTCCTAGGACTTTTGTTAGATGAAAACATGAAAATTCACATTTAGCAGGTAGCTCATAAACTTAATTCTAATCTTTACTCTATTAGAGTTCTCAGAACTTATGTGACAACTGATGTTCTAAAAATTTGGCAAACTTCCAATCTATACTATATATGTCATTATATTTTGGGGACAAGGAAGTAATATTCAGGAAAAACGTGCAGTGAGGACCATCTTTGATCATATATACATGATATCATGTTAAGGTATTTTTTAAACTCATAACATACTAACCATATTTGGGATTTATATTTATGAAATCATAATTTTTATGTTTAAAATCAAAAATTATTTTAACGAGTACATAGTAAAAATAAAAGGCACAACTTGTACCTATTTCCAATACATAGGACTAGTTTATTTGAAAAAGGCTGCTATTACTCTTGTATAAACTTGTTCAATTACTTACCTAATTTATTAAAACGACTTAAGGATTTAAACACATTAAAAAAGGACTTTTTGATTTGCAACATTGAGCCGTATTTACTACGTGAATTTTGTGATTTCTGTTTTTAGACATTTATATACACTGTATATGCACTGTACATTATTTAGAAATATTGATGTCTAAATAAATTCTAAAACAGTTTGGATCTAAGGCAATTAAAAATAGTTTTGGACATGTTTGGACTGCAAGAACTAAATAATGTTTTGACAATTTTGTTACAGGTATGTTAATGGTTCCAAATAGGGATGCACCGGATCGGGTATTTTGCCGATCCGGCCGGAACCGGAATTTCGACCGCCGGAATTCCGGCCGGATCGGGACCTAAATTTAAAGTGTATGTGCATGCCTATATTTATACGTAAAACATTGAAAATATTAAGGCTGATTTATTTTTCCTTTTTTTTAACTAGCTACAGTAGTGTTTATTACTATTAATTTTACCTAGATAGAAATTACTGTTTATTTAAATATTAATTTTTAATTAGCGTTAACAAAATTTAAAAAATTCTACTCATTCAATTGGAGAATAGCAGCCACCTGCCAATAATAAAAAAATTAAAAATAAGTCGGGGAACCACAGCAAGGAAACACGCACACCCTTCTCTGTTGACCAATTACAAAATATATCTGGAAAGCGATCCGGCCGGAACGGTAGTTCCGGCCAACTGGCCGGATCGGCCGGATTTAGTGGTACCGCCGGAATTCCGGTGCATCCCTAGTTCCAAACTAGTAGATGCAATCCGCGAACAAAAATATTATTTGAAATATAAAAATTTACAGTTACAAATATGTAAGTACCTGTTTAACTAATTCTGCGCTCAATCCAAGATACTGATGTAGAGCAGTAAAGGTGACTCTTTGTAGACGAACCATAATAACCTGCATAACTCTAATAAAAATATCGGGATAATCATGAAATACATCTTGAAAGGCAGCCATGGGCAGTTTGACGACAGTTGAATCCTCAATCGCTTTAGCGCTAACAGTTTTGTATGGATTGGGATTCCCCTAGTAAATAATTTATTAATTAAAATTAAATCCATGTTGATGCAAAAATACTTACAGTTAAGGCATCTGTAAAGCTTAGCAAAGAGGTGACGGATTCACCGGGTTTGACAATTTTTAAGGAATTTGTTCCTTCGCTGCCAGTAATGAAAACATTTAGTTTTCCGCTTTGGACAATGTACACATTTTCATCCGGATCACCTATACGGAACAAGTAACTTCCCGCGTTGACATTAATAATCTCGGTGTGTTTACAGAGTTTAAGAAAAACGGGCTTTTCAAAATGTCCAAAAACCCTTATACTTTGAAGCATGTATAGAGCATCTGGTGGCATCCTTTCATCTGATAACATATCTTCTTGTAAATATTCCACTGGGGGTTCAAGAACCTATATTAAAAAAATAAATAATCATAAAAAATATATATACCAAATGATAAAAGTAATACCAAGCAACACTTAGATCTGTACCAAGGCCACTTTACCAAGAGACCCCTAAGTTTGCATTCGCAAAAAAATCATTTTTTAATTAATTAAAAACATAAAGTTTACGTTAAAAATAATATAATTACATGAATAGTATATTAATTATTGTCAAATTCACTTCGTAATAATTATTTCAAATTCGTTCAAAGTTGAGTATTAGGGTGGAGCGAATTTGAATTCACATTAGCTTGCAAAAAAACCATTTTTGTTTTTTTGCTCTTAAAAAAGATATAGTGTTTTTTAAAACTTGCTTTTCTCATGCGGACACTGAAGATGATCGAAAATTTCTTTATTTTAAAGGTATAGTAATAAGCAACTTTTTGCACGTAATGTTTAAAGCAAGTCAAAAAAAAAATATTTTGCTTACCCTATTGAAAAAAAAACATTTTTCAAATTATTTGATATTTTTTGCTACACATGCGGACCCTCAAGATGATCAAATATTTAGTATTTTTTTATTATTGTTAAAGTGTATACTAATGCGCAACTTTTGGCGCGTAATGTGTAATCCAACTCAAAAAAAAATATTTTTCGTTCCACGTCTTTTTCTAGCTTTAGTAAGTAATTTAAATAATTTAAGTTAAGTTTCTTCTTTTTTAGATGGCTTAAGGCTTATGATTTAAATAAGTTTTAGGATGATTCGTACTATTTTAAACTATTTTAATAATTGCGTAAGGACTTAATTCTTTTTACAATCAGTCCGTAATAATAAGTAGAAGCTGTCGTAATTAAATTAAATAATATTGCAAATAGTTGGAAAAGGAAGACTCCACATATCCATTACAAGCCTTCAAACCTTTAAATCCGCCCCTGACTAATACCAGTTAAAGTGTATATGCGTGTATATTAGGGTGTCCCTTATTTTTTATTTTTTCACGCATACCCTCTAATTATATTTATTACGTGTTTATATACTCCCAGTAAAAATTTCAGCTTATTCTATAAACGGGAACCCGTGCTGACTTGCATCTGAACCCTCCGTTAGCCAACGTTAGGCGCGCGGTATTTTGTAACACGGTTGGTCGCGAGGTCTTCGATCGTAAGTCATTATGTGACCCTTATATTATAAATTATTGACAAATGTTAAAATATAGTTTTATTTATGTGTATACTTTTATAAAAATGTATATTTTCACAGAGAGTGGCTAGTTACCAGGAAGTAAATAGGCCGTAAACTCTGAAATTGATAAACTTAATGGGTTTTACTCTAAATAACTAAAAGAGTACATTGTGAGAGATGACTACCAAAAACTTATTGAACTGTCTGAAATATTTTTGGAAGGACATCAAGAAAAGAAATGCTTATAAAAAGCTGAAATATCATATAACAGTATATTTTAGCAATACTAATTAGTATATTAATATATTTAAGGGATAAAATCAACTAAATTTTTTTTTGGTTATTTTTTAATGGTCATTCAGATATAATAAAAAAAAGAATTTCGGGTAATTAGTTTTAGGGCCTATTCACCCGACACTTCCGGGTAACTAGCCACTTCCTGTAAAAATATTCATTTTTATTAAAGTATACACATAAATAAAACTATATTTTAACATTTTTTAATAATTTATAATATAAGGGTCAGATAATAACAAACACAAAATGACTTACGATCGAAGACCTAGCGGCCAACCGTGTTACAAAATACCGCGCGCCTAACGTTGGCTAATGGAGGGTTCAGATGCAAGTCGGCACGGGTTCCCGTTTATAGAATGAGCTGAAATTTTTACTGGTAGTATATAAACAAGTAATAAATATAATTAGAGGGTATGCGTAAAAAAAATAAAAATAAGGGACACCCTAGTGTATATGGTATATTTGTAATTACCAATAAATATTATTATCGTTTAGTGGAATTTATATTAGTTGCACTAATAAGTGCAAAAACACGTGGCGGGATGAGTCGGTGAGCGCGCAGGGTTAACGATGAGTGAACGCTCTGACAAATTTCGCTGTTGTAAATAAACAAAAGACCAGTATTTGGTAACACTCATTGAGAACATGCTTTTAAGTCCAAATATCAGTACGCTTTTTTACAAGTTAATAATAAAATATTGTTTAAAATTTAGACCTTTGGATAATCCCAGGCCCACGTAAGAAATTATAACCCATGTGTCTTTTTTTAATATTTACGTTTTTTTAAACATCGGGCATTACAAGTAAAATCAACTCCTGTTGATTTGGATAAAATGTTATATGTTAACTAACCACTAAAAACGTTTTTGTAAATTTTAAAAAAATTACCCCACCGAAAATGATTGGGAATTTAAAAAAATTGGAATTTTTTTTAATGTTTATAATTTATTAAAAACTGATCAGTATTCGAGATACTTTTTTTCAATAAAAAAAATACAAACAATCATAATTCATATTCTATAAAAAATTTCAGTTTTCAGAAAAAAAACATTAATTAAGTTCGTTATTTATAGAGATGGGATGGGAATGCAAGTTCTGATAAAAAATATAATATAATATAATAATATAATATAATATAATATAATAATATTATTCGAAACAACAATGACACAACTCAAAAATCACAGTTTTTGAGAAAACGCATTTTAAATTTCTTATTACTGTTTTTTAGAGAGTATGCCTAAACAATAAAATATTTGAGCCCAGATTTTATTTTTTGAGCACGGCTTGGTTAATGGAAAACAGTAATAACAAATTTAAAATGCGTTTTCTCAAAAACTGTGATTTTTGAGTTGTGTCATTGTTGTTTCGAATGAGCGACATATTATGTCGTTAATGCAACCAAAATGGTCAAACATATAAAAAAGTGTCTTTGTGCCCCACAAGATATATATATCTATGCAAAATTTTAAGTATACGAAAGTCACAGGGTTCCACTGATTTGTCTAAACCAAATTCCCTGACTTTTCCAGGAATTCCCTGACCTTTCCTGATTTTTTTCCAGACAAAATGTGTTTTCTTTTTGGTTTCCTGACCCTCAATGATTTTTTCAACAGGACTTTGAGTGTTGGTTTTTAAAATTTTAAGTATGGGGCCATTCAAGTATTACGTAAGCAGTAATTTTGTAATTTTTAACCCCCCTTTCCCTTTGTCAGCAAAAGTAAGTAAAGCTTATCATTATCAAATATACAACAAAAATCAAAGCAATCAAGCAAAGATTCCTTTGGTGCTTATGTAATACTTGAATTTATTTTTCTCGATTTTTATGTAAGAATGTCATATTCTCGCACGCAAAATCGTTGAAGAATGAAGCTCATTCTTAAACGATTTTTAGTAACATTTAGTTTTTAAGTATTGGTACCCCCAAAATGTCAAACTGTTTAATAACCTCAAATTCATTACTTTTAGGATTATTTATAATAGCTTTGTTTGTTATCCTGCACTAGTACAACCTGAACTACACTTTTATTGAAAATGAAGCCTTTATTATTGTTTTGTTATATTAAGTTTGCTCCAACAATGCATTTTAATGCAAAATTTTAAGTTTAATGTGAAAAAGTGCAGTTCAGGTTGTACTTGTGCAGGATAACAAATATTGACAAATAAATGAGCCAAACAGGTCAATCAAACTATATTTTATTGGAAATATTATATACCCACAGTACACAAAACACAAAACTACTATAAATTAATCACTAGCACAATTGATATAAACTTTTATTGTAATGTTCGGTGTTGCTTGTAAAACCTCCTGTGACATTTTTCTCTGCTAAAAGTAAAGACAATTGTTCAAAAATATCAGAAAACATTAAAACATAATACAATACTTACACCAAACCTTATTATCCAGTTGACAAATACAGACAGATTATTAAGTTGTATAATATGTGATTATTAATAAATAGTAAATAAAAATAAATGTACCTGTCCATGCAACTGTCATTTTGTGTTGCCAACTGACATTTTGCGAGAAAAATCCCCCAACTAACAACGACCACAAAACAATTAAAAAAACCTAAATAAAAGTTAAAATCGAGAAAATAGTATAAATCACACGTTGCAGAAGGCTATTCTCGCACTCATTCGTTCGTCCACTCGCTCCTTCGTCGCTCGAGGCCAAATTTCGAATTCGTGCGAGAATATGTGGCCTTCTGCAACTTGTACTTTAATATACTATTCTCTTGGTGGAGAATTATAACGATTAATTAAAAAACTAAACTTTTATTGAAGTTTATAAAATTCAAAAAAATTAATAAAAAATCAATACTTCTTATTAGAAAAAAACAACACAAAAAATTTTCTGTAGTAAATTTTTTCGGGATAATTTTTAATTTTGGTTTTTATTTCTTGGGTTTTTATTACATTAATTTTCTATTCAATCTGAAAATAACAGAAATAATGAAATTTTTAAAAATGCCTCTGAAATTTTGTCTGCGGCAGGTCTTGTTCATAGATAAAATTTTTTGGTCTTGTTTATCAAGTTTTTCACTTTGAAATATGTCATTTTTGACTAATTCACTGCAGTCACTTATAACTGTAGTCAACAGCAATTTGTATCCAGGACATTTAACAGCCAATTCTCATGTAAAATTGTCCCCTGAATCCGAAAAGACCGTCATAGCAGTTTTTGAGATATAGTCAATTCCATATTATATGGAAAATTGAATAAATCTTAAAAACTGTCCTATTTTTATAACTTTTGACGACATATTCGGATTCAGCAGACAATTTTACATAGGAATTGACTGCTAAATATCCGGGATACAAATTGCTGTTGACTAGAATTATTAGTGGCTGCTTTTTCGCCATGACAATTAGTCACTTTTAACTAATTCATTTTTAGAAAGGAGTATTTTCCATCTGGTTCTTTTTTTTTAAATTAAATTTGAGAAATTTATGTTCTGCGTTGCCGAAATCCTTTTTTAATGGCCTGCACTTTTTATGTGGCCTATGACTGCTTGCAAATCAAACATTTGGCTTGAAAAGG